CTCTAAATGGAGAAATTTTTTATTAGCATTGAATGGATGACTACCAAAGGGTTCATATACTCAAATTAAATTTACTAGACATGCTAAGATATATTGGACCTATAACTTAGCCAAAGAATGAAGACTAGGAAGGAACACTCTTATTTAAATTAAAATAAGAGATAAGTTAAGAACTTAATACAACCCCATTTACCATAAGAGTTTAGGAAATTATTAACTCTAAGTAAAGGCAATATCCCAATAACTAAATAATTGAGCACCTTTGAAGAGCTAGTTTTTATGATCAACTGATCTATTGATATTGATTAGTAATTGACCAATTAATTATCATCGGAGTTAGGATGAACATCAATATTTATTTGATCATTAAAAAATAGAGGAAACCTTCCAATGATTTATTTGTGCAGAAAAAAAAAAATCTTTTTAAGATCAAAAGGATTAGCTTGCTCTATTTCATCTCAATGGTCCACTAATAAACCCACGCTACCTATTTATCCAAATTGTTTACCCAAAAATCCTATTAATAGGAGTTCTAAAAATACTAAGAAAATCATTTATTTTAAATAACACAAAGGGTCATATATATGTAAAATTAATGTAAAGCTCAAATTATTTTCTTGGAAGAAATTGCAAGTCCTATAAATGATGACCTTAAAAAGGATTTATGATTATGCACCTCTTTCTAATGAGGAGATTGAATTTATAGATGACCCTTAAATCAAAATGAAGTGATGTTTAACTCCAACAAAAAATAGATAGATGATGGGTGAAGGAAGAATATTTTTAGTATGTATATGACATATAATGTGAAAATATATATGTTAATTAAAAACAAAGGTAGTTCTATGAATGTCATCTAAATGCACACTATACCCAGAGATAGACTCAAGATTGAACAACTCTATTGATTCAACCATACATCTCTGCCTATCATAAGGAGGTATTTCTTACTACAAGGATTTGCAATTATGAAGCTCGAGTCAAATTCAATGTCCTTGATCCCCGTGGATAATGCTCAAATCTTATTAGGTATAATATGGTTGTAAGACTTAAATATGATCCATTCAAACATAATAAGATGATTATTAAATTTTACCAGTTCAATATATAAAGAAGACATCCAATATAGTATCCCATAAAACTAACTATGAAGTACTATACTTAAATCCACTCGAAAGAAAAGAGCTAAGGTTCAATTGAAAAATTATAAAAAAACCTTATTGCTAGGAATAACTTTTTTCATTTTCAATCTTGATTATAGCAAATTCATCATGCCTTCTTCTCTAACATCAATAATAGAATAAGTAGGATTTGGAACCATTTCAAAGAAGATTTTTGATCAATCCTCCTTATTCTTATTGCATGTGAAAGAACTAAACTATGACGTTGATAAGACTCACATGTATGGTTGATGTAGTCTCTCCACTCCTTTAGTTTAGTAATATTGCATCTAAAGACCTTAATGAATTGCATACTTTTAGAATCATTCAACATGCCATTAATTTAGCTCTTAATTTCCAACTTTTAGACATTCCTAATTATAAAGTAAATCCCATTAAATCATGAGATGAATTGAGGAACTACAAGTAAAAGTTTTATAATGAATTTTTTTAATTACTGTGTATCATGGTCATACTAATTCCTAAAAAAGATGAAATGTGATGAATGTATGTATATAGGCAGACTAAAAATAAAACTATGATCACCTGTTAATTTTTAATTTATTTCGCAATTCGATAGTATGTTGCATTTGATCTGAGGAGAAAATTTATTCTCTAAAATTTATCTTAAAGTAATTATAACTGATGTAGTTTTGATTGAGAGAAAGATGGAAAACTACTTTTAAAATCATTGTGGGGCTTTAGGAATAGCTTTTTTATTCTTTGAAATCTCAAATACTCTTAGCATATTTATAAAATTAATGAATATCATCCTTAAATCTCATATATCAAAATTTTTATGGTGTATTATTATAATATCTTGATTTTAAATTTTAGTAAAAATAATCATCGGTAAACCTCCAACAACTTTTTAAAATGTTTAGATGAAATTATATATATATTAGTATTTATTATGTTCATTATTAGACTCAAACCCGATCGACTCTTATAAAGTTAAAACAATCCTAAAATAGTCATTACCTAAGTTTATAAGTTTTCAAGGTCTAGTCTCTTTTAATTTTCTAAAGATAAAGAAATTAATTGAATTTTCTCATCAATAAGTTCACATTATTGTTACTAAAATATTACATCTCACTATTATCAAATTTAGAAGCTTCCAAGGCAATATACTTTCCCTTCTTTCTTTTTATTTTATTTGTTATTATCTAGATTTGTTTCTATTCATGAGCTATAAAAGTGCTCAATAAAAGATCAATAAAAGTATACTAGCAGACATAGAATAGGAGGGTTAAGTTATTCAATGCTTTCTCTTAAAGCCCATTCCATACTACTAAGGAGATCAAATCATAAGCTAGAAGGTGAAGCATTATATTCAAGGGCCGCCTCTAGTAGGGAGCTCTAAGATATTTTGGAGATTTTTTTTTTAAGAAATGACATCAATTTCTACACATGATAGAAACTATAATGCCATAGAGAATATACTTTCTCATTGTTTTGAGATTGAAGAATGTCAAATGACACCAAATAGATATAACTTAATGTAGTAAGTATAAATGCCAAAACTTGTTGTTGCTAGCATCAATAATGCTTGTTATTGTCAAAAGACTAACTCATGTCCTTTTCACCAAGGCTTAAACCTAACATTGCCACAATCCTTAACTCCCTCCATTACAATCAAATGCCATAGTAACACTAATGTTTGCCATCACAATAATACTAATGCCTGCCACCATGTCCAAAGCAGACTCTCACTATCACCTCCATGGAAAACAATCAATGTTGATGCTTCCATTGCTACTAACTTCGTTGGTTGCTATTGGTGTTAATATTGACACCCTTCATTGCTTTTGTAGCTAATGCTCACCAACACCACCAATATTGAGGCCTAGTGATGCCACCAATATTGAGACCCACAATCACCACCTTGATATATACCATCTCTAACATGGCTATCCCTCATCATCACCACTAAGGTCAAAACTCACTATCACTAACATTGTTGATTCTCACCAATTCCAATAATCTAATGACTAAAGTCACGACTATTATTGAAGCTCACTGTTCCTACCACACACACCATCATCTTCAACACAAACAACCACTAACCTTGATGCTTGCCATTGACACTATCACCAACACCCATCATCACCACTACCATTAATGCCCACTATCACTTCTGAGGCTAATGCAAGTCATCCTAGCAAAGTTGTTGCTCATCTTTGTAATTGTTGGTCTCCTTTTCTATAAGAAGAATTACCAAGAAGAGTATCAAAATCTTTTGAAGATAATGTTATCGCCTCAATGCTCCTCCCACAACCACCATAAGAAATACATGCGATAATTCACGTATATTGTATTGTATTAATATTTTGTTAAATCATAGGAAATGTACAAATAAATTTACAAGGTTCTTAAAAGGGATCAAATCTCACTAAATGCTCACCAAAAAAAAAAACCTATAGAGTAATAGACCCCTTCCTAATTACAAGAATGAAACAGAAAGATAAAAGCACACATAGAGCCATAACCCGAGAAAAATATTACCGAAAAAACCAGAAGCCCAAAGCTCGAATATTCTTAAAGATCAATCAGGTGCCAGAACAAAAGAAAGACAAAAAATGAGAGCCAGAAACCACGGAGTTCATCACACATAAATAACAATTAAATACCCCATTCTGAGCAAAAATGCACCTCATGCAGCAACCAAACTGCAAATGGAAGCTCAAAAAACCACTCCTAGAAACAACAATAAACCCCCATACCCAGTAAAATTGAAGCCACATGTGCCAATCAATCACCATTAGATAAGCAAAAAAGCCTAATAAATAATCACCTCATCATAACCATTAACAAACAAACAACACATAAGCACACTAAACATCTAGAAAATTCAAAATGTGCCTGCAATAAAAAACTTAAATAAAATAACCGGCCTTCAAGAACACAAACAAGAAAGTAGAAAACCAAAAATTAGAGGTAAAAAAATCAACGATGGACAAGTCAAGCCAAAGCAAAGAAGTTAAAAATGATCCTCTGCCCTGCCTCACAAAAAATAACTGAGACCCAAATGGAAAGCGGATGCCACTCCCATTTGCTAAAAACTCAACACACTCATAAGTAACCTAACAAAGATATGATAAGGGGGTTCGCAAGAAAATGAATAGAAATATAAAATAACTAACCTAACAAAGACAAGCTAACAACCCAAGAAATACCACCCAGCCGCATCCCATTAATAGAATTTGGATATAAGATAGGAATACAGACCAGCTGGTAAAGTAAATCACATAATAAACCATAAGTAAAAAAAAAAAAAAAAACACAATTACTAAGCCACCAACACTACAGAGATATATATATATATATATCATCAAACAATGAAGGACTAGTAAACGAGTAATCTTTTTTGCTACTCTTCTTTCTAAAGTATGTTATAAGGATTTACTTCGGATTTTTAAAATGTAAATAATGAATCCTCTTTGATATTGTAGGTTACGGTATAACTGAGAGGAGGCCGGAGAGGGCTGGACTATGATATTTTATATATATTTTTAAATAATTTATTTCTTTAAGTAAATATGAATAATGTTCTCATTAATATAAATATTGATCATTTCCTTCTTAGCAAGCAACTAATGGCATGATATAATTAAGCATTCTTTTTTTTATGTCCATAAAATAATAATATTTTGTAAGTAATAATTCTTCAATCGTTGCTTTTGTAACAAGAGATTAATAATTTTAAATAAAAAAAAATCTTGCTTTTTTAACAGTTAAATAATAATAATTTCCAATGTAGATTTCTTAGTTAAGAGATTAAATTCCCCCCAAAAAAAAGTTAAGAGATTAAAAATGTAAATTAAATTAAATCTGAAAAAATAAGCTCTGTTAGGGTTTCTCTTCACCGCGCCGCGCCCTCTTCATTCCTTATTTACCACCTGCCGAGCGGAGTCTCTTCACCTTTCTTCTTCTTGTTTCCTGTTTCTCTAGATTTTGGCTTCGGGCTAGCTGTCTATGTGGTTATTTTTCCGATCGCTCGTGTTTTTCTTTGGGTTTTGATGAGCCCTCGAACCCATCATCATCTAGAATGGTTTCTATTCCTCTCAAGAGGATGGATCCTGGTTCTTTAGCATCTAAGGAACTGTCCAAGTACTTTAAGTAGGCCTTGGCCGGTTCCCAAAATTCTACAGATTTTATAGATCTCAAGCATACTACTTACTGTCGTTTGCCTGCTCTTGGAATTTCTGAAGAAGAAATCCAAGCGCTGGGAGAACCTTTTAAATTTGCTCTTGTAGAAAAGTTTTCTCTTTGACGTCCTGTTTTGGACTCCATTCGCAAAAATTTCTTCATTGTTAAGCATTTAGGTGACTTTTCTGTTATTCTTTTTGGTCCCAAACACGTTCTAATCAAACTTTCCAACGAACTTGACTATAGTAGAAATTTGCCCTTCGAGCCTATTATGTGAACAATTGATACATGAAGTTGATTAATGGTTCCCGACGTTTGATATCTCTACTAAATCTCCTATCGTTCCTTTTTGGATTTCATTCCCTGACTTTCGTTTGAATTTATTTCCTCACCAGATTTTGTATGGGCTAGGGTCTTTATTTGGTAGAACTATCCAAACCGATAGTGCTACCACCTCTGGAACTCGACCCTCTGTTGCCCATATCCTCGTTAAATTAGATATCACAAAAACCTATCTGACTCTGTATGGGTCGGTCCGGAGAAATTCAGGTATATCCAGAAAGTTATTTTAAATGAGTTCCTTGATTTGTGACCACTGTATATATTTGGGACATATGAAAAGCTCATGTTATCACTTGCATCTTCATTTGTGGAATCAGAACTTGGCCAAAAAGAAACAGATGAATTATGATATTGTGAATTCCAATAATTATGTTCCTAATGCTGAATGTCCCAATTCAGAAAATACTATTCCCACTATTTCTGCAAAAGTTAATGTTTCTATAGTTGCTCATACTAGTAATGGAAATTCTGCGGGATTAGATCTTATTGTTGCTATTCCTCCTATCTCTAAAAGTTATTCTGGTTATGGTATCATAGAAAAGGAGAATCCAAATGTGGCTTTAAATGAGATTCCTGCTACTTCTCCTAGTTTCCCTTCATCTTTCCCTTCTACTAGTTTGGGTGCAGAGGAAGACCAGATTGCTTCTAAGGCCAATCCATCTTCCATGGTATCTATGAATGCTGATCCGTTGTCTTTTGAGGAGGAATGCCATTCTAATGGGTCTCATTCAAATTGGGAAGAAGGTGAAATACAATCAGATGTTGAGTTAATTTCTTTGATTAACTATCATCCTAAGTTCAATTCTATTTGTGGTTCTTGGAGGATTTCAGGGTGTCTTCTAATAATAAAAAGAAAAAAAATTCTAAAAATAGAAAAAAAAAGGATTTACTAGCTTCGGATTCTAGGTATATCTAGAGTTTCTAATAAATCTGTTTTATATGATCAAGCCTCTCATTTGGAATGTTAGGGGTGTTGAAAATCTAACCTCTAGATCTCGTATTTGAAATATATGTAGAATTCATAAAGTTACTTTTTTTGCGATTATTGAACCATTGGTTAACTCATCTAAGATTTCTCTTTGTCAACATCAATTGGGGTTTCAATTTTCTTATGCTAATACTAGTGGTAAAATCTGGTTATTTTGTAAGGATGATATTAACCTTTCTATTTTTGCTAAGTTTGACGAAGTCATTAATTGCAATTTTTCTGTTAATTGTTAACAGGCCTGAGCGTTGGATCGCAAGGAGACAGAACACAGGCGAAACAGAGAGAAAGAAAGGGGCCTAGCCCAGTTGGATCGCAAGGGACTAAAGGTCTCGTTGTAGTTGACTCCGAACTGTTGGTTGTAGCCGAGAGCGACCAGCCGCGCTTTGTAGCGATCCACCTGGCCGTTGGGGAGGGTTTTAATCTTGTAGGTCCACTTGCAGCCCAAGATGGGCTTGTCGGCGGGAGGAGAAACAAGTGTCCAGGTAGATTGTTTCTGTAAGGCATCAATTTCAGTTTGCATTGCTGCGCGCCAGTGAGGAGGTTTGAGTGCTTGAGTGTAGGTATGAGGAAGGTCTGGAGTGTGGTTGTGAGCTAGGAGATTAAATATTTGCTTGGGTTTGTGAATGCCCGACTTCAGTCTGGTCTGCATTGGGTGACCGTGCGGGATGGCGGGTGGGATAATGGGAGATAACGAGTTGATGGCGGGTGTTGCCTCATGGATATTGGTTGGACTGGTTCCAAGTTTACTTGGTCCAATTATAGAATTCGGGAGAGATTGGATAGAATTATTTTTAATTTTAAATGGATTTCTCTATTTAAAAATACTACTATGGGTCACCTTAGTAGAACAATCTTGGATCACGCTTCTCTTCTTCTTAATATTAGCCTTTCTTCTTTTTATGTTTCTGGAACATTTCATTTTCAAAATATGTGACTTCATTCTAGTGATTTCCTTAAAATTGTGCAAGATAACTGGGATTCCCCTATCTATTAATATGAAAGTTTTAATTTGATGGCTATTTTACTCTTAAACTCAAATAGCTCAAGCAAGTGTTAGGATGGTGGAATAAACATGTCTTTGGTAATATTTTTGAGTTGAAAAGGAGGTTATTGTTTTTTAGGACAATTTTATTTCTAATACCACTGATGAGAACAAAGATCTTTTTATTAAAGCCAAAAATATTTTTTTTGATCTGGAACTTAAAGAAGAAGAGAATTGGCGTCAAAAACCTTGTTCTAAGTTCATATATGATGGTGATAGAAACACTAAATAATTTTGCGCTTGTGCTAACAGTAGGAAAGCAAATCCCTTATTCATAAAATTAAATTGGACTGTGGCACTTGGGTTGAGAATGAGGACTCTACAAATAATTATCCTATCTCTCACTTTAAAATTTTACTTGGTAAATCTAATTATGTGGAGAATATTTCTAATACCCATTTTATCCCTTTCATTATCAAGGACAATGATAAGATTCATTTTACCGAATGTCTTGATGAGGAAGAAATTCATAACACCCTTATGTCTATGAATAAGGATTCAGTAGTTGGTCCTAATGGCTTTACAACCATCTTTTTTTCAAGAATGTTGGCATATTATTAAAAAAGATTTTTGTAAAGTTGTTTGGTGCTTCTTCAATGGTATGTCTATCCCAAAGTTCTTCACAAGTACTTCTATTATCCTTATTCCTAAACATGACAATGCTGAGGTTTGGAATGAATTTTTACCCATTAATCTTTGCACTACTTTTAATAAAATTTTATCTAAAATTCTAGCTTCTTGTATGGCTTCCCTTCTCTCTCTTATTATTTCTACTAATCAATCCAATTTTGTGAAGGGGAGGAACATTTCTGATAATGTACTTTTTGCCCTAAAAATTATTCATACAAACTTTTATTTGGGAATTTAAAATACTGTCTATGGTTGGTAAACTTATTTTGATTAAAATTGGTATTTGCTCTATTCCTATTATTTATTTCAAACTATTTCCCCCTCTTAGGAGGTTTGCAACAAAATGGACAATCTTTTAAACATGTTTTTTCTGGGTTCTCCTATCAATAAAAAGATTCATCAGAAATCTTAGAATTCTTGTATTGGTCCTTTTGGTGAGGGAGGTATTGGTTGCAAATCCATGGTTGATTTGGTGACTTTTATATTAAGTTGTGGTGAAATTTAGATGCAAGAATTACTTATGGGCTAATTTTATGCACCTTAAATATTGTAGCAATTCTCTTCTCTCTCATTGATATTTTAAGAAGGGTCAATTCGGTAGGGCTAGAATTTGCAAAATTAAATGGCTGGGTAAGCTTGTTATTCAATGAGGTATTGGCTATGGCTCATCTCATTTTAGCAAGATAATTAGATGGGGGAATGGTTTTGTTGATTCCTACTTTAATAACCATTCTCTATCCAACTTGAAAGTGCGTAATTTCATTCTTAATGGTAATTATAATTTTAATCTTCTTTTAGAATATGTTCCTATATCAGTGCTGATGCTATTAGTGAAACTCCTATCAGTAATTATATTAGTGATCAGCCTATTTTTAAATTTTCTGCTAATGCGGATTTTAGCTCTAAATTTGTTTGGAATTTCTTGACGTCCAAATATCCTTTTAACTCTATATTTAACAAAATTTTGAACTTTGTGATTCCCACCGATATTTCTATATTTAACAATATTTGGTACTACCTGGACAATGCTTTAGGTTTAAACATGAACTATATAAATACTTCTTGCTACTCCCTTTTGCATCATTGGTTTCTACTTAAGCCTGCGTGTCACATTTCAACCATGAATCATATGATGGTTTTTTTGGCTTCTTCGGAAAGAAAAAAATAGCTGCAAACACCAGGGCATCAAGATGAGTTCTGACAAAATTATCATTAGTATTAAAAAAAAGATCCATCTACTCATTGCTGCTAAAGGCTTCTTCTTAAACATCCTTAACATTTTAAGGATAATAAGGATTGCTCCTCCTTTCAAGTTTCCTTCGATGGCAATAGGAGATTACAGTCTAGTATTTTATACTAGAAGTAGCCCCTTTTTGGCCAATTTAAAATTAATATCAATAGATCTATCTCTAATTTAGAGGCTGGTTGTGGTGGTATTGTGAGAGATCATCAAGGCACTTTGGTGTTTTCTTTTGCTTCTGCTATTTCCCCTAATAAAATTATCATTGCTGAAACTATGGATCTTTATATTGTTCTTAAGTTATGTGTGGATCATAATTTGTCTAATATTTGGATTGAATTATTATTGGTTAATCTCATTCAATCCAAACATTGCAACAACGCTAGTTTGTATTACCTTTACAAAAAAAATCTCTCCTTAATAAGTATAATTATTTTATCACCCATATTTGGAGAGAAGATAATAGTTGTGATGACTGATTAGCGAAGAAAGATTTTGATTTTGCATCCACTGAATTTTTCTACAATTTTTCTCAACTACATGATTTGAAAGCTTTGGTTAGGCTTGACAAATTGGGTTTTCCTTATATCAGAAATGTGTTATTTCTCTTTGTTCCTCCTCTTTTTCCATTTTTTATTGTCCTGTTCTTTATTAGTCTGGGCTGGTTTTTAATCGGTCTTGATGTTCTTTTTTCTCTGGAGTCTGGGCTCTGAGCTATTATTCTGTGAGGACACTTGACGGTTGTCCCGTCCGGTTACTCGATCGGTACCGAACGCGGTATATTTTTGGGATGACATGGCGTATTTTTATTGGTCTTCGGACATCATTCGGACTCCGCACTCGTCTCGCTGGAGAGATTATTAGGTGCGGAGTGCAGACGGGGAGAACCGTCCGCACACTAGTATAAAATCCAGCTAGGTACCATTCGGTAGGTACCGCTTGGTACCCTGTGTGTGTGCAGATGGTGCTCTCCCCGTCTGCACTCCGAACCTAATATTTTTTCGTCTCGCTGGCTCTCATGTCTTATTATATTATATGTGGTAGTTTATATTTTATGATGGTTCGCTTTGTTTTTGCTTGGTCACTACCTCGTGGTTGCATTCTTCATGCTTCCTTATATTGCTCTCTTGTCTTATTGTTCGCTGTTGTTCTTTATTCCTTCAGTTTATATGTTATTAGCCTGGGCCATTGTTGGTGGATTTCTTATGTCTCCCTCAGGTTCAGTTGTGGCCATTATCTGTTTATCCTTACCTTGCATGTTTTGATCTGGATGGTCGTTATTCTTCTTGCAGGTCTCTCTAAATACTATCCACAGGAACTCTTTGTTGTTGTTGTTGTACTCATTACGATCTGTTTGCCTGCTATCCTGAAGGTTCGTTCTTGGATGTCATGTTCTTTATGACTCATTATTTTGCCTGATTATGATTTGAGCTTATTTTCAGCTCATATTGGATTTCGCTCCTTGCCAACCTTCTCTAGGTTCTTTTTACTTCGCTTCATTTTTTAAATTCAGTAGGGATCTTTGACTCTTAGTTTTTTTTTTCTTTTTTATTGTAGCCCTTTGCGCATTAGTTAGTTATCGATCTCTTTAAGGACTTGTAATCATTTTTTTTATTAACGTGTAGGCCCTTATATACACTTTTCCTTAGAAAAATAAATGCTTAAATGTGCATTTGGGATGGCTGCAACTGTCGGTAAAACAGGTTGCGAAGTTGTTCTACAAAATGTTGAGTTTTAAAGTTGTTGCATAGAAAGTAATATATTTTGTTTGAGAAGTATAATTTTCAAGTTGTTGTGTTGCAGTTGTTTGGGCATAAATTATGTTTATATTCTTATGTATATTGAGATAAAAAGGAAATTGATTAAATGTCAAATTTTTTAAAATTTATATGTTAACAAACTAACAATTCTAAATTAAAATTGTATCCATTTTATGAATTATTTTATTACTTTTAAATATCAAAGTAGTATAAAATTTATTTTTTATCATGTAATATCTTACTTCAAAATTATCTAAAAATTTATTTTTTTTCATTATTTCATAATAAATCTACTTTTTCTTAGTAAAGACAATGCAACTCAATAAAATTTTGAAATTTAATAAGAAATTAAATAAACATGGAATGAAATATGATGGAATAAATTATTTCTATCTCTAAAGTACAGTTTTACACTGAAAAAAGTTATAGAGACTCTATGTTCATTTAATCTCATGAAAAAATATTCTGTATTTTATGAGTATCTTTAAAGCTGTTCCACTAAAGCATAAACGCTTTGAAGTACTAATATATATATATATATCATGTGTTTCAAAAGTTTTTATATATGTATATTTACTATTCTAATTAATTTAGGATGTCCTAAAAATTTAGGTTGTTTTTAACCAAAGCAATATCTTCAGTTTGCTTAAGAAGAACATCAAACAAATTTCAACTATTAAGCAGGGGTGGAACCAGCCCTAATTTTTAGGGGGGTCAAACTTATAAGATATATATGTCGGGGGTCTAAGGGAGCAATGTCCCCTGGCAGGGTTCGACTTGTTGGGGGCAATTACCTAAAGACCATAGTATTTTTAAATTTTTAGGGGGTGCAATTGCCTAAAAATTTTTGTAATAAAGACTAAAAAATAAATAAAAATGGGTAAATTACCTAAAAAAATCATATAAATAAATTTTAAAAAAAATTTTGAGGGGGGGCAATTGCCCCTCTTGATAGCCATGGGGTTCCGCCCCTGCTATTAAGGTAGATTCATATATAGGTTGTATACACAAGATTTGAACTCAAGATATTTTAATTGGTAGCCTAATGATATAGGAATTATGCACGGAATGAGCAATGGCAAGCAATAGAAGCAATAGAATAGTGAAGATGAAATTTCTTGTATTAAAACTTCATAACTAACTCCTCCTTTCTTCCCTAGCATATATATATATATATTTTATGTAAGAAATAACCTATACCAAAAGTAGCTACTAACAACAAAAAGAGTACTCAAAGTACTAACGGTCTAAAATTAGAGAGTGAAAATAAGATTGTGGAGATTATTCTTAACAAAGAGATCATGTGTTGATAAACTATGCCTTCGTTCTAGGGTAATAAGGATGCTCTGCATGCTCTCAATCAACAGATCAAGATGAATTGTATAGTAAGAGACATAAAGACTCCGGCTTTTCCTTCTTATTTTTTGATTTCACAACTTGCTTTTTCATGAGTTCACGCTATGAAAATGAAAGAAAGTAAACCTCAGAAATTCTTGAGAAAAATTAGATGCAGGAAAATCATCTCTATAATAGTAGTAAATCAGAAAAAGCAGCAAATGCATATTATGAACAGGAAACCAAGCTGGCAGTGCTGAAGAAGGCAAGCTAGGAAACCACAATTCTGGCATATGCCAGAAGACAGAAATTGTAAAATTTTTTGGGTAAAATGAGAACAAAGCCAACATTCATTTCATAATAAAAATTATTTATAGACTATGAAAACAAAAATATAATAAATATAACCCATTGTATACAAAAAAGAGAGGGGAAAGTATGACTATTTGTATGCAAAAACTCAAAAATAACCTATAGCAGCAAAAAAGAAAGGCCCAGAGGCAGCCAAACCCAAAAAAAAAAAAAATTGTAAATTGTAAATTAATATATGAACAAGACAAAGCAATATAACATGCATTCATACAGTTATGAATAATATTATTTATAAAACAATAATTGTTGGAGAGCAGGAAGCTGCTGCTTGTGGAGAGCAAGAAGCAGGTTGGTTATCAAACAAGTGAAAGTGTTTTTCGGGATTCGGAAGATTTGTGCAGACAAGAGCTAGTCGGTGAGGTTGATGGGATCTGGCTGCCGGGTCGGTCGTGAGCTGGGAGCTTGATAAGGCTGGGCGTCGGATTGGGATTGATCGAATAGGTGGTCGGGACTTGTTCAATCAAGCGGAAGAACTCGGGGGTGTGAATTGGCGAATTGATCGAACTTTGGAGTCAAGTTGGAAGACTGGGAGCAGGTCGGAGGTGTAGACGTTGTGAGCGCCGTTGAACTCACAAAAGTTGAACTGCCAGACGTAGGGGCGGGCCGAACGGGCCGAAGAGCCAAAGGTTGGGAGACTGTCGCGAGCATCAGAGATTGTGACTCCAAGATGGATGAGCTTGAGGAGGATGACATTCGTCTTTAGGGTTCAGTAATTGTAGTCGGAAGCGTTGTGGAAGGCGATAATGGGCGAAGGTCGTGAATATTTGCAAGTGGGGCATTTACGCAAATTTTGTCCTTCGAAACCGCTGAAAGCAACAAACTGCAGGAGATAATGAAAGTTCGCGGAAGCAGCCATGTGCCGTGATTTTTTTCTAACCCAGTTCTACCGCAATGCCACCAACGACTATTTAATAACTTTTTATAAAGTAAAGCAGTAGTGCTGTCGTCCCAAACGGATCCTAAGGCTTCATTTGGAATTGCTTTCTTACTGCTTTCTAAAGTGGCTTTCTAGTTCAAAGCTTTTTAAAAATTCTTAAACTAGAAATTTTTATATTAAAAAGATGCTTTAGAAAGAAGAAATAAAGCTGACCCAAATGAAGCCTAAATCAGTGGTTAAATGCATCAAAAAATTTAGTACTTCAAAACGTTCTATAATTGCTTGGCAACATAAAGGTTATCCATTCTTTTTTTAGTACATATGAGTTATTAAGACAAATTTTCACACACATCACATGTGTAAATTTCAAACTAAAAATATCTTAATCAATAGTCAAAACTCTCAACCAATATATCAAAATAAACTTCGCAGGTTATCCATTCTTATTTTCTCACTTCTCAGTATTTTTACTCCCTCTCCTTTGTTAATGCAATTGGAGAACATCTCTCCCTTTTTTTTTGAATAAATTGCAATTATGCATTAATGATAAAAAAAGAAGTACAAAAATATAAGTGATAGCTAATCTATCACATTCTTCCATAACCATTTTAACAATTATTGGAGGAAGATCATTAAAAAGAGCAGAATCCCAAATTTTTTTTCCCAAAAATAGCTAAGGAAGCACAATAATCAGCCACCTTATTACATTGCCTTGAAACATAAAGAAAATAACATTTTGAAATTCTTCAAGAAAAGAGATATCCACATTCAACACAATTTTGTTTGAATTATTCTTCAAAGAATTATGACAAAAATTCATTGCATTGACATTATCACCTTCAATTTATCAATTATGATGTTTTTTTTATCAAATTTCCATTCATGCAGAAATTCTGAAATGATACTAATAGCAATGATTTTCACATGATTAATATCCCAATTGCACATTTGTTTATCAAAAGTGGCTAAAAATTTTCCATTATGATTGATTTAAATAGAGCAGCATCAATATTAGTTTTAATCCAACGAGGAGGTGTGGGATGCCAAAAATTTTGATTTAGCTGTGTAAGTTGGTTAGCATTCCAGATTTTCTTATTAGATTTAGGTTTCATTTGGGACGGCTTTTTAATTGCTTCTTTAAGCAACTTTCTAGTAAAAAAATTTAATTTTTATACTAAAAAACTGCTTCAAAAAGCAATAAAAAAACCGTCCCAAATGAAACCTTAATCGAATATTCAGGTCATCATAGATCAATGTACACTTCAACTGCAGCAAGAGGAGTAGGAACCTTCACACCATGCTTGAGAGCATTTCGAGCTTTCCAAGACTGGTGGTATACACAGCTACAATAAATTTGAAAAAAACTACCGTTATTATTAATTTTTCGCTATAGTTCCAATACTTTGGCATTCTCTCCTTTTGTCCCGAAAGCTTTAGGTACAATAAAATTCTTCTTTCAATAAATCAGTAATTTTAAATGAGCAAAATGTCGACAACAAAGTCAAAATCTAACGTTACAAGAACATACGGAAAATTGTGAAAATTTATAGCATCATGAATAATATCGAACAACATTGTAATACAATAATTTAAGAGTAAATATAAAAAAATATATATTTATTTTATATTTTAAAACTCATAGTTTCATTATGCAAAAATAAATTTTATTTATTATTTGTGTCATTCAGATTATGTTTGGGACGATTTTATTTTTATTTTTAAAGATTTTTTTTATTAAAAAAATAATTTTAAAAATAAAAACTAATAAAAAAGCCATCCAAAACAAAACTATATGTTACATAAGTTTTTTTTTTTGTTTCTTCATAGGGAATTCCTCATAGGTTTTTTGTCCGACAATTAAAACTTGCGATGAATTCGAAGCTTAAATTGTTTCCCATCAGCGGAAACTCTTAGATATAATTCCTTGCACAAAAACACCTATATAAATCTAATCATCCTTCCATAGAATAGCAGTAACAAATTGGGTTTTGCCTCCTTAAACTCAAAATTAATCGCGATTATGGATCGGCACTTGCTCCCTTTACTGTCCTCATTTCTTCTCCTAATGCTTGCAATGAAGGCTTTCAGAGTCCATGCGGCGACCACAGAGCCCAACCAAAGAGTATGATTGCAATATTCATTTCACAGTATATATTATTTCTTTTATTTACCACAATTGCATGCAATTTATTAATGTGAACAATCAACAGCCTTACATCGTGTATATGGGAGAAAAACCAAGAGAATTGGTTGGCCTGCCACTATTAGTTCATTCAGAACTGCTCCAGAAAGCAATTGGATTAAGGTGATCTGCCCAAACAAGTCCTCAATTTTATATTTTTCTTGATTTTCTGGTACCGATTAAAATAGCAAGATTTCCAAATTGACAAGGATTTGTTTGTTTAATTTTTTTTATCAAATATCTAATTATTGTTTTTGCTTATATATAAATATTTATTTTTCATTCAAAAATAATGTTGAATGCAGCAACCAGGAAGCGTCAAATCGACTTATATATAGTTATACCAAGAGTTTTCATGGCTTCGCCGCTATGCTGTCTGATGAAGAAGCAAGGAAGTTGTCTGGTAATATAAATATGTATATAAATAAAAAAAAAACTTGCAAGAATAGCAGTCATAAATGCAATGCTATTAATGCATAATATTTGGCTTGTGAAATATTAATTTTAAAATTTCATGTGCTTTATGACTCAGGTATGGAAGAATTGGTTTCTGTGTTCCCAAGCAAGCAAAGAAAACTTCACACCACAAGATCATGGGACTTCATGGGTTTTCCATTGAGCGCTCCACGTGCGCCCTTTGAGTCGGATGTTATTGTCGGCATGATCGACACAGGGATCTGGCCTGAGTCAAAGAGCTTCGACGATGCCGGCTTTGGCTTGCCACCAAGCAGGTGGAAGGGCATATGTCAGTCTAATCACAACTTCACATGCAATAAGTAATTGATGCTTCTCATCATCTTATACTTATAAAAAAGTTGTTGTAGTTTAGCTATATGAAATTACTAATACTATAAAAATTAATTACCAACGCACAGTAAGATCATTGGAGCTCGGTACTACCACATTCAAGGTAACATAAGTGAAATGGACATAGCCTCCCCTCGGGACAGTGAAGGACACGGAACTCACACATCCTCCATAGCCGCCGGCAATCTTGTCACAAATGTGAGCCTCGCAGACATTGCAGGGGGGACTGCCCGTGGAGGCGTCCCCTCAGCAAGAATCGCAATATACAAAGTTTGTTGGAGTGATGGTTGCTCTGACATTGATCTACTCGCCGCCTTCGAAGATGCCATCCAAGATGGTGTCGACATCATCTCTATTTCCATTGGTGGTTATGCCAATAACTACTTCAAGGACCCCATAGCTATAGGATCTTTCCATGCAATGAAGAAAAACATTCTGACATCTAGCTCGGCGGGGAATGATGGTCCTAATAATTTTACAGTTGAGAATTATGCACCATGGCTACTCACAGTGGCAGCGAGCACCATTGATCGCAAGATTGTTGCTCCAACTAAGCTTGGTAATGGAGAAGAATTTCAGGTGATTAATTATTTATTGATCTATATATACCTTAATCATTTCAAAAGTTGAGTTTCCTAATCAATTAATTCTTATGCAATTAAAATTATTGGATATAGGGGAAGGCAATGAACATCGATGGCTTGGATGGTGAGATGCATCCTTTGATATTAGGCAAAAATGCACCCAACAATTCAGCAGGTGATAATGCAAAATACTCAAGGTGAACTAGTTTTGCTAATTTTGAATTATTTAGTCAAAATTAACATCATCAGCTTCATTTAATTTATGCTATATTTTGTTATGCATGCAGATATTGCTACGAAGGGACGTTGGATGGTGAATTGGTGAAGGGAAAAGTTGTTTTATGTGATGGGTTAACTGACGGGTCAGGGCCACTACTTGCAGGTGCCGTTGGAGCAATTATGGACATAGATTGGGTCAATGATGACTCTTTCGAGTTCTTGCTTCCTGTCTCAGTGCTGGAATCACAAAATATCATACAAGTTCGAAATTATGCAAACAACACAAGGTTACTACTCTCAAAAAAAAAAAAAAAGTATATATATATATATATAATATGGAAAGCACATTTAGTACTTTTGATTATCTATGCTTAATTATCTATCTGATAGCAATCCTACGGCAAGCATTTACAAGAGTGAAGCTATCTTCGATGCTACAGCACCATATGTGGTTTCATTCTCATCACGCGGTCCAAATCCACTTACCCCTAATATACTAAAGGTAATTAACTGAAAACATAAATTAAATCTTTGATTTGAATTTCTTTTATGTAAATATTATAGTAATGTGTTGCATGTATAATGTAGCCGGACCTAACAGCACCAGGGGTTGATATTTTAGCAGCATGGTCACCTCTTAGTACCCCTAAAGTACCATATAACATGATATCAGGCACATCAATGGCTTGCCCTCATACAACAGGTGTTGCCGCTTATGTCAAATCATTTAATCCAACTTGGTCTCCAGCTGCCATAAAATCTGCTCTCATCACCACTGGTAATACTAATTTTACTATTGTAATCATTAACACGTGGCTAATAAATGCAATTTCAAATTATTTTTTCCTTTCATTTGATCTTGATGAATTAACAATAAATTTAATTTTTAATTCTTCCAGCCTATGTAATGAGCTCAGCAAGGAATGTAGAGGCAGAACTAGCTTATGGAGCTGGTCACATAAACCCACTCGCAGCTTTGAGTCCTGGTCTTATATATGATGCCCATGAGATAGACTATATCAAAATGCTATGTAGTGAAGGCTATATTACTACAATTCTTAGACTTGTCACTGGAGATCAGAGTAGTTGTGCCTCTACAAATAATGGAACAGTTTTAGATCTCAATTATCCTACCTTTGCTTTACAAACTCAATATGGAAAGTATTTTTCAACTTCTTTCCGAAGAACAGTCACTAATGTGGGAGTGTCAAATTCTACTTACTATGCTATTGTTAATGCTCCTTCTAGCCTCAAGATCAATGTTAAGCCAAATGTTTTGTCTTTTGAAGCTCTTTCGGAGAAGAAATCATTTTCAGTCAAACTTGAAGGAGATGCTTACGAGACTATTATCTCGGGTGTTTTGATCTGGAGTGATGGTATTCATAATGTAAGAAGTCCAATTATTGTGTATACTAGCTAAAATTAAGGTTCTCATTATCTCTGAGAATTTATCATATATCCTATTAATGATTATATGCTTTTTAAAAGTCAATTAATGCTTTTTGCTTTAGTAGTGATTATGTCTACATTCCTACTGATGATGTAATGCATTATATATTGAGAAAGATTGTTTTCTTAATCCTTTTCTCATGTCATATTTTTAATTATCTCAGTTTATATTATAATTTTACAAGGTTTTTTTTTCATTTATTCAATAATATATGATAAAAACTTCCCATAAAGGCCCATATATAGTAACTCATCATTAAAGTAAAGCAGTAAAATAAAGGTGCCTTCATTGCTCAAGAAGGCTATGCTAAAGAAGTCATCAAGAAATATCTATAACTCTAATCACATTGGAATATTGATAGAATATGAATTGAAGTTGTCTAAGAATGGTGGGAGTAAGAAGTTGGATCCAACCCTCTACAAAAGTCTTGTCGAAAACTTACACATTAATATTGGATATTATGTATATTGTTGGAATGGTTAGTCTTTGTATGAAAGATCCAATCATAAATCATTCCAAGACTCTTGTTAAAAAGAATCAAATATTGGATGATTCAATTATTTAATTTGCATTTGATTAAGTTTACTATTCCTATTTTTATTTCTTTAAAAATTTATTTCTTGTATAACTTTGTGTGTAGCCATCTTCTTGTTTTGTTTTTTAATTATATATTTGTTGTGGCTATAATATTCGTGGTGATAAAGTACCAAAAACTTTATGTCTTACCACTGCATGAGTATCCAGCATACAAACAAAGAAAAATAAATACCATAGTTTTTTGCATGGAAAACCCTAAGGGGAAAAACCATGGGGCCACCCCCAAACGAAATGATTCCACTAGTGTTTGAATAGATTGTAAATGACTAGTTTGTCCTTAAAATTGAGAGTGATCGATAAGATTACAACACTTAACTGTCGAGTTGACTCTAGTAACAAATGGAGATCAGATGGAAATATGACGACACTCGGTGGTTAGAAGAAAATTCGACATCATTTGGCGGCCAGCTGTTGTCCGATGACATCTGGTAGTTGGACAAAAGTCTAGTGATAGTCGGTGGCCGGGCAAAAGTCTGGCAACAGCTAGTGGTCAGGTGAAAGTCCGGCTACAGTTAGTGGCTAGTCGGAAGTCTGACGTTATTCGGTGACTGGAGGAGTCTGATGGAAAGATAACTCTAGTTTCTCTTTGTTCCTTCTCTTCCTTGATGGGTTCCCTTCAATGAAGAATGATGGATTTATTTATAATTTTTTGGATAGGAATGACAAGCAAATAGGAGGAAGATCAAGTGTACGTTGGGTGTGGTTTGAATTGACGGGCGATATTAATCCCCTTGATTATGAACCATTTATTAGGCATTTAAATATCTTAATGATATCAAAATTTAGTGATCTTAGAATTGTCGGATTCTTCTCGTCGAGGCACTTGATTCGACTATAAGCATGTCACATTTAGAAATCATTTGACTATCCAATTTATGGTTTGAACCTTCCAAAGATGCTTTGATTCTTTGATTTGGACCCATTGGAGCTCATATTGAGTCAAATTTTGTTAATTTAAGAAGTTTCCAACTTGATTTTGCCTCGAGATTTGCGCCCGATCATGCATGATTAATTTTTAAGGATAAAATATTATTTCCATTAGGGTTTGTTTGGGTTGAAAGTGTTGGAAAAAGAGGTTTTGAAAATTTTGGTTTTCCTTATAAATTTTAATTTAGGATTTCAATCTTGAAATCAAACATGTCATTATGAACGATATATCACATTGGGAGGCGAGAATATCATTCCCTAGTGGGTTCAGATAACGAGGTTGAAAATTTCATCCATACTATAGTAGTCAAATTCAAGGACGGATGACATATAACCCTGTAGTGTTAAAATGACATTTTATCAAGCATTTAACTATAACAATTTTGATGGGAGATCATTAATTTATTATTTAGGGTCTTGATAAGAAATGGTATATCATACCAAGTAAAGAAAAATATCATTGACTAATCAATTATCTGAATATGATGATAATGATTATTGTTGATTTAATTTTCATAAATAAGACTAGTTGAATTTTGAAAATTGATTTTTTTTTTTTGAAAAAGTGGGTGTGTGTTCTAAATCTCATATGAGTACAAGCCATCGTAGTTAACTACATCATAGGGAAGTTGAATTTCCTAAAAATACTTTCAATTAAAATATAACGATAAAAATTTTGTTTAAAGATTTTATAGGAGTGATATCAAAGGAGGTAGATTTGGAGTTCAACGTGGATTTTATCAAATTTTAAACCCTTATTTCCAGAGTCAAATGAGGAGTGGTAGGAGGAGATTTTGGGAGCTTTTGGGATTATGAAATAATTCAGAAGTGTCCCAACCTTATATAATTATTGGACTTAAATTTAGATTGAGAGAACGTTTAATTTAAATTGAGTAATTTATTAAAAATTTAGGATTATATTCTTAGAGGTTGGGGTCTTATGATTCAGAATCTGTCTCGAATCCTAAATTTAAATTGAGCACTAGACCACAATAGCGCGAACTTAGCTAATGCAGTGTAAAATCTTAACTTATCCAATGCTGGATTAGGAAGCTAGCTAATCACCTAAGTGCTTAAAAACCATGAGCCCGGTCTTTATGAAATAATGATGGGTTATTGTTTAAAGTTTTTAAAAATTAAGATTGTTGCCTTGAGCAAGTCCTAATTTGCCCCTTAATTTATGTAGGGTGAAAAATGCTCGAATTAGATGTAATTAAACTTTTAAACTCATTTAATTAATTTCTAATACAATACATGCTGATCGACTTGATTAAATATATAAAATTTATATGAAATAGTTTTTGGAAAAGGATTTAAAAATTATTTTTTTCAAGAGATTACACAACAACCCCTTGGCAGATCTTCACCCTCAAAGGTCAGGTGATCTTCCAGAATCCGCAGGCGAGGAGGTGCCTAACAAGAAAGAGAAAGTCAATAAAATGCTTATGCTGACTTTTGGTGGTCCTAGGCTTATTTCTTAGGTAGTCAGAGTTTCTATATTATCTTAAAATTTTTATTTACATTTGAGTTAAAACTGTTTTAACGTGCCCTCACGAGCTTCCATATATCCAGACTAAAATAAAACACGACATATAAATCACCAAAAAAAAAAAAAATTAGGCAATTCCAATAGCAATCAAATTAAATCAAACACATTGATTAATCAAATTAATTTCATAAATAATTTCTATAGGCAAAATTCGCTTTTATTACATCCTAAAATTTATATATATTAAAAGTGGTCGGGCACTACAAATAAGAAACTCAGACTCTAATCCTAGAATTGCGCAAGTTAACTTTAAGTGGAATACTCTTTGTCTTAAATGCTTTGGGTTTCTTGGATTTGTCGTATCTGGATACCCAAATGAAAAAGAAAATTCTTCCCCCAAAGGGGAGGTTATTCTTTTCACTTTGGGTATTAAAATAATCCAAATTTTGGTTTTTAAATGGAAAAGGACCGTCCCCCTAAGCAGTATCATTTCCTCTTTGGAATCTTAATTGGATACCTATATCCCAACTCAAATACTAACTTTCATAACTCGATACTTTTAAACAAATTACATTTATATTAGAAATGAAAAATTATAAACTCTCATGCAAGATTATCCTAAAAATTTGAAATCAATTAAATCCCAAGCATATATATATATATATATATATTATATATATATATATATATATAAGAAAAAGTAAATCATACTTAGCCATGCTCCTATTTATTTGGTGGCTAAGCAGTAGGAGCACTTGTAACATTTATATTTTTTATTAATTTACCCCCCTATTATTGCTCTACAAGAGCATGACCATCTACAGAAAATCCTGTGAGCAATCAGATGTGAATTAGTAAGATAATATATTGTTAAATTCACCGCGCTTTAGCTGCACAGTAAAAGTGATAGTGAAAGTGCAACAAAGAGCAATAAAAATGCTACAAAAGCGAAGTGACCATCATAAACTTAATTTTCAAAATTAGATTACACAGTTGAAACTATCTATCATAATCACATTATATTAGTTCAGATCATGTCACTGTAAGTGTTTCCACTATTAATTAAATTTGTAAGAAAATTTTTCTAGAAATTTACTATGTGTGATTCACTACGCTTTTGCTTTGCTCTCACTATGCTTTTGGTATCCTTTTGTTGTACTTTCACTTTTGCTACCCTTTTGTTGCCCTTTGCTACGTTATTGCTTTACAATCAATTATTTTGACCATCATTAACTTAATTTTAAAACTAGATTGCATAGTTTGAAATTATCCATCATAATTATATTTTATGGTTCAGATCATATAACTATAAGGGTTTTCACTATGAATTAAATTTGTAAGGAAAATTTTCTAGAAATTTATAATATGTAATTCACTTCACTTTTGATGTGCTTTCATTGTGCTTTTGCTGGCTTTTTGCTACACTTTTACTTTTGCTGCCCTTTTGCTATGCTTTCACTTTATAATTAATTATTTTGACCATCATAAACTTAATTTTTAAAACTAGATCGAGTAGTTTGAAATTATCTATCATAATATTATTTTATTAGTTCACATTATGTAATTATAAGTGTTTTAACTATGAATTAAATTTGTAAGAAAAAATTTCTAGAAATTTATAATGTGTAATTCATCGCATTTTTGCTACGCTTTCCCTTTTGCTATGCTTTTGCTTTATAATCAATTATTTTCATCATCAAAAACTTAATTTTCAAAACTAGATTGCATAGTTTCAAATTATCCATTTTAATCATATTTTATTAGTTTAGATCATATAATCATAAGTGTTTCCACTATGAATTAAATTTGTAAAGAAAAGTTTCTAGAAATTTATAATGTGTAATTCAATGAGTTTTTGCTGCCCTTGTACTACGCTTTCACTTTTGTTGTTTTTTGCTGTGCTTTTGTTGCCCTTTCGTTGTCATTGTGCTTTGCTTTCATTTTTGTTGTCCATTTT